TTTGGACCGCCTACATTAAGCTACATGTATTAACTACCCCTAAATATTCTTCTTATTCGTGTTTACGAGGTTACAAACTCAAAAATAATATTTTTTTCTCAAAATATTCAGAAATAATATTATTGCAATGACAAGATTCTACAATATAAATGTTTATATTCGATCAATATTTTGCAATCGCATAAAAAAAAAACATTATTATTTAAAAAACATCACTATAGTTAAATAACAGTTTAGATTATTATAAAATAAAAAATATATAAAAAATGACACTTATGTAATTTGGTTAGATGGGTGTATAAAAATAGAGGTAATTTTTTTGAAATGGTAAAACTCTTAGCATCTTATAATGATGAATTTGTAAAAGTTGTATTAGAGAATGCTCCATACAATTCAAAGCATATCTCTCATTCAATTCAAAAAGAAATTTTACATATCATGTATAGTAAAGTGAAAAGTTATATTCGAGAAGAGATTCGGGATTCTAAATTTTACATAATTGTTGATGAATCGCGTGATGAATTTTTGAGGGAGCAAATGACTATTCTCTCGAGGTTTATGGATAAAAATCGGTATATTTGAGAACATTTTTTTGAGTTTGTGCATGTTAAAGACACTATGGCTATCACTCTTAAAAATATAATTTATGATGTTCTTTCTCAACATGGTCTAAATGTTTTAGATATTCGTTGGCAAGGGTATGATGGTACTAGTAATATGAAAGGGGAGTGGAATGGATTGAAGGCACTATTTCTCAAGGATTGTCCTTATGCATATTACATACATTGTTTTGCACATAGATTACAACTTGCTCTAGTTGTTGCTTCAAGAGAAATTTTTTTGTTCATGATTTCTTTTCACACCTGACTCTTATTGTCAATGTTGTATGTTCCTCTAGTAAGCATCGTGATGAATTGCAAGATGTCATATTAGAGGAGATTAAAAATTTGCTAGAGATTGGTGAGCTTGACAGTGGTAAAGGTCAAAATTAGATTGACACTTTGAAATGAGCAGGAGATACACGTTGAAGCTCACGTTTTTCTTCTGTTTATAGTATGAAAGATTTTCATAATCCAACTTGTGTGGTTCTTAAAGATATTAGAAAAAATGGGAGAATTTATGCTACACATGGGGATGTTAATGCTTCTTATAAGTTTATAAAATAATTTGAGTTCATATTAATTTTGCACATTGAAACAACCGGCTGAACAATCAACTGATAATGAAATCAATGAAGTCACCATCGAACGTTTATTTATCCCACAGGAGGTGAAGGTAAACATCGAGTAAACCTGAGAAGGGTGAAATCACGATCAAACGACCGAGATATAAGGGTAGGGGAGTCGATTACGCGAGGTGAAGGTATTAGCACCCCACACGCCCGTAGTACTCTATGGTATCTACTCTTGTTATCTATCTAATGGGTGTGTTTAATCTATATCTAAGCTTTACGAGGAATGCATGCAAAAGAAATGAGAAAAGGAATGTAGGAAAAATAAAAGTTGTGCTCGCCCGGGCCCTACCCCAATGCCTACGTATCCCTTTTAAGGAATCAGAGCAGCCATAGTTCGACTTCAAAAGTTTTTGTTGGTTTGTATTTTTTAATGAACAATATTAATTTCGCCTTCTGCCGCAGCTTGACCTCTAGAGACTCAAGCGTCAGCACAGAAGAGAATTAACTTGTTCTCTCTGAAAAGTTTGAAAGAAAATCCCGAAGGGGAAAAGAGAGTTCGCATTGGTTGATATTTTTTACCTTAAAAAAGGATTTGAAAATTGTTAGATGTTTTATGCATTTGTTAAGAAAAAGGAAGTTTTTGTTTTAATGCATGGATGCAAAAGAAAGAAAAATCATCTAAGGGAGACTAACCTAGATCTATTCCTAATGTTATCATACAATGATTGATCCTAAAGTTGAGTTTTGAAGGGAAATCACAACCCTAAGTTGACATGCTTGGATAACAATCCTAATGTCTATCTAAAATCATCATTTATAGATGAATCAAGAAGTCCTAAAGGAGCATAGCAAGGGTCTATTACCTAAAAATATGTTTATCTCGAATCATCATATACAGTTGAATCGAGAGCTCCTCAGGGAACATATCGAGGGTATGTCATCTCAAAATATGCACACAAAGATGAAATCAAGCAAGTAAGCCAATAAGCTCAAGAGAACACACCTAGAGATATCCTATCTAGGTTAGCATGCCAAAGAATGTCTAACAAAACTATACTACGGGGGACATGCACTGAGAGCGAAGTCGTGATCTCAATTTCTAAATTGAGTGACTCATCGATCAACAAGAAATAAAGGAAAGCAAAGAAATCATATAGGGAGAATGACACTGAGAGCAAAGTCGTGATCTCAATTTCTAAATTGAGTGACTCATCGATCAACAACTAAAGAAACAAACACAAGTACAACACATATAGCAAATGAAACACGGAATGCCTGCTACAGGTCTTTAAACAGTGACTTCTAGCGTACGCTCTTTATTTCCTACTTCTCATGCTATCTAGAAGAAAAAACAGTAAAGTACCGAAATGAGATAAACAAGGGAAAATACTAAACAGATATTAATCCATAGCAAAGCGTATCAAAACAAAGAAACCCGGCGATCTTCGCGAACATCTTCACCAATCAAAGAAAAGAGTCAGAAATTGAATGCTTGGAATAAGTATCGAAGCATCATCGATGTGAAAATAAATCACAATCGAAACTTCAAGCGCATCCTCATATCGCACAATAAACCTGCGTAAGACTCAAATCTCAACAAGCAACGGTGAATTACCAATCTCGAATATAATCGGATAATCGGGATTTAATTCCTAAAATCACATAAAAAAACTAATAAATTTGTATACTTGACTTCATTATTTTTATCATGTAAAGAAGATTCAAACAAGTCTAAACAATTAACAAAATTAGTTAAAATAAAATACTAAAAGAATAAATTCGGGGGGGTGCAATCTGTTGACCACGGTGCATAATACAGCAATTCATAATGAAGTGCTAAACCCAATTCAGAATGAATCTAATAACCATTTTTGTTTTCATCAAGCAAGAAGTCAACAAAAAAGAATTCAGGCCCAAGGATGTGTGGTTCGGTTCATTATGAATTCAACATCCAAACCATATTTTTTCAAGATTTTCTTTGTTTCAGATTTTACTTATTAAATTAAAAACTAAAGAAAAGAATGAATTAAATAATTAAAAAAAACAAATAGGGTTAGGGTTATAACACTTTAGCTTCACGAGACCATTTATTCTCTTCCTCTTGTTCCAATCGGCGGCGATAACCTCATCTTCTCCGACGATTTCGATCTCAAACCACCGCCCCTGTATTAAACTTCGGCCACTACAAACACACAACTCATACTTTAAATCCTTACCTCTTAAATAAAACAGAGATGTGAGGAAAAGACCTATGGGATTCAAAACGAATATCGAGTGATAATGGTGAGGAATTGATGCTTGAAGCGCTATGGTTTTGGTTCGTATTCATTATACGCTATCATGTGGCATCAAGATTGACGAAGAAGAAGGGAGAATCAAGAGTTTCGAAACTACCAACCTACGAAATCGAGAATCATTCCGGTAATCCTGCTAGAGCTCGAAAATGAAGCATCAGGAAATTTTTCTCTTCTTCTTTAAACTTCTTTTTGATTTTTTTGAATTGTCATGTTGTTCATGTGTTGTTATGCTTGCAGATGTAGAGAATGATGAACGTTGAAGATCGTTGCAATAGGGATTGAATGTTGGTGACGAAGCGTTGTTGATGGAGTTTAAAGATGAATTGGTGAAAGGATGCAGTTCTTGTTGCCTTGAAGATTGGTTGAAGAATAGATGATGATGACGATGATGGATCGTTGAGAGTAGAAGACAATTGAAGGTGCTGCTATGTAGTTTGCTGCAGAAGATTGAAGATGCAAGATTGATTGTGTAGTGATGTTGAGAAGATGTTGTGCAAAGAAGAGGGTTGAAAATGCAAAATGGTTATGGTGGTTTAGTTACTTGCAAAAGATGAAGATAAAGATGAAGATTGAAGTGAAGTGATCTGAGGAAGATGAAGATGGAATTCAGAGAGAGTACAGAGAAGCTCTTTTTCTGGTTTTTTTGTTATTCTTCTCAGATTGTTGAAGAATGAAGATGAAGATGAGAAGAGAACTCAAAGAGAGTGAAGAGAGAATGAAGATTGGTGAGGAGAAGAATCCAGATCCCCCGCCCCTTTCCTGGTGAGTTTTTTTTTCTGTTATATCCTGCTTCTGTTATTCCTGTTATCTTGTAAAATAGTTAGTTAGGAAACTGTTAGATGAATGAAAATTAGTTAGGGGTTAGAATTCGGATAGAAAATTGGTTAGCTACTGAGCTGGAATTTTGTTTGAACTCTTTTTATTTTCCATGTTTTCCTTATATATTTTCCCTGATATTTTCCTTTGTATTTTCTGATCATTCCCTCTGTTTTATTGAGTTGGCTTATTACTTCTTATTTCTGATTTTTCTTCTTATTTTCTTGCAACCTTTCCTCTTCAGACTTATTGGTGAGAAGATAAAAAAAAACACAGCAAGAACTGGTTTTGGAACCATTTTCCAGAGCTCTTCATCCAATCCATAAACGTCAACGCACCTAGATTGATCCTCCGGAAGAACAAGACCAGAAAGGAATTGGTTCATGACATCAGGTTTAGCTTCAAGAGAAAACCATCTTTTTAAAGAAGCAATAGCCATTCTTTCTGTTTATTCTGTTTCCAATTTACAATTTCATTTCTCATTTCAGTTTCATATGACTTTTGGATTATTTTTATGGAATAGGCCTTGGTGTTGGTAATTGGCTTGGTTTGAACTGGATGTAGTAATGGTTTGCTCTTGCACGTATGTAGCATGTTGTTTTTATACAACAGTTTTTGGATCACTAAGTTGGCATGAATGATGATATTTGTTGCAGCAAAATGAAGCATGTTATATCCAAAGAATAGGTCATAAAGACCATCCTCGACTATCCTTACCCACGGCTCAACATTCTATCCAAATGATCAAAGTTCTTGAGCAAAGGCAGAATCAAGCTACTAAGAAAAAGATCCTGACTGAAGGCGGCAATAGCCAACTTCATAAGAAGCTTCGACACTTCTGCGAGAAATAAGTTTGCAGTTGGATATGGACGGGTAGTTAAAAGGTAAGTTGCATCATACAAATGTTTCAGATATGTGCCAAGAATTTCAATCTTTTTCCCGTCATCCAAAGTTAGAGTCATTATGAAATCAGGACATTGAGTATCCAAGCAAGCAGAGACTTCCTTTAATTCGTAGGCAGCTGCAAGCACATGGTATGTTGTATCCTATTTATAATAGTCATCCGTCAATAGACTCCCCAAACTATGTACCTGTAGCTATTTCTTAAGCTTCACAAACTTCTCTTCTAGAGATTCAAAATATTTCACAAATTTCAGACTTACGAACTTTGCTAACAGTTTCTCTTATTGCCTGCAGTACATCTAATGCAACACGACTGAGAACACGGGAATAACAGTTCTAGTTTAATAATTGGCCATCGAGAATCACAGGGTTATTAACAAAGATATGGCTCCGCACATTTACCTTGAAGGCCTCACTTGAGAAAGACTTATCGAGTGCAAGTGTAAGTACTCGACCCTCCGAATTTCAATCAGATAAACAGGTCATTATGGATTGGCTTATGAGTCTATCCCATTTTCTGGTCTGCTGACCACAAATACAATGTTCAATCGTCCAGGAATCCCATTGATAAGATCTAACAAAACTACTTGATTGGAACTTTACACAACCAACTTATTTGGTCCTATAACTGCCCTCTTTTGGCTATTCCTGGTCGCTGTATTTTTATACTAGCTATGAGTTGATGGAACTTGTATGTGCAGCACTGATTAACTGATTTGTGCCAGGTTAGGCTAACCTTCGTTGGATAACATCCTTTGAAATTGATGTACTGTGTGCTTTTTTTTATGCAGGGCTTTATGGCAAGCTTTGCAAGTATGGTAGAGATTGAACACAAGGCAAAGTCTATACTCAAGAATTGACTCAGGAGGATTCTGTTTTAGGCTTAGAAATTAGAACTAGCCATGCTTTTGCTTTTGTAATGTTCTTTTTTTTTTGTTCAAGGCTTCCATGGACAATTGTGAGCGAAACTGTTTTGAAACTTTGAATGTGCAATGAATGATAACACGAAAAGGCCTCACATTTTGAATTGGTTCTTAAGAATATTGAAATTTATATGCTAAGCAAACTTGAATCGTGATACACATACTTTTGGAATTTCCACTTAAAATCCTGTCTTAAAAATGCTTGAAAACCTTGAATGATATTGCATTTTTGTCAACTTGAAATCAATGGTCTTGAACTTGGAATTTTGAATCTTGAACCAATTAGAACCTGGGTCTTCCACTTGAAATCGAAAGTGATCTCATGCCTTGAATAATGTTTGAAATGTTTTATTATTTCGCCTTGGTAGCTTGAATTTCAAGATTTCAACCATGGATGGATCTTCCCATTTACATGCTTGATTAATGCACCTCAATCTCAATTGAAACCATAAGTCCAAGTTGACTTGTGAAGAAATCCACAAGAACTTTCTTCTAATACTAGCATGAATCACTTCTTATCACAACATGTGCTTGAGGACCTTAACTAATATTGAGACCATGCCTTATAACCTTTACATTTACTTATACCTTGCATTGCAGGAAATACTTATGACACTTGCACCTTAAGAAACTTTAATGGATACTTTCCTAATCAAATCCTAAATTTCCAGGAAACTTTAACTTGCGTTATAAGTAATAACAACTTGAGAGAACAATAATCCCTCGAGGAATCCTTTGAAGATGAATATGGAACTTGAGACATGGGAGGAATAACTACCAAGATAGCCTTAACATGTAAATCCAATGAACTCCATTTGATGAGTTAACATGCTTAATTTCCACGCATAAGAATTACAATTTTCTTGAGATGCACTGTGATGAAAATGGATTTGTCTCTTACCTTGAGGAAGATATCCTTGTAGCTTGATAAGGAAGAGATCCACAATAACCATGAATCAAAACCCTAAATTCACAATTCAATGTACAAAGAAGATCTAGCAGAATCAATCTTGTTCGATAAACACCTCGAACCAAAAGAAAACCCTAGCTTCACAACCATTAATCCTTTGAACCATGATTCAACAAAACCTGAATTGGTTAACTGAAGAGTGGATGAATGCCGTGTCATAGTAATTAAGCATGATCAAATGATAAGAACACTTATATGAGGAGACGTCTTGATTCAAAGACTATGTATGCTAGGTCCCGCCCTTGAATTTTTGACCAAAAAAACCTACAAACAATTGTTCATCAGAAGATAATAGCTTTGTAGCTTGATGGAGAAGAAGTCCAAACTGGTCATGAACCAAAACCCTAATTCCACAGTCTTCCACACCGAGAAGAAACATAATGATCCGTCTTACTCAACATACACCTCAAATCAGCTGTAAACCCTAGCTTCATAACTACTGATTTTTTGAACCTCGGGTGCTCTATTTTTTATGAAAATGCATGCTATACACATGACCTATTGGAATGATGTATATGAATGCAAAGTCTAAGCCAAAATAGAAGTGCAATTGGAAGGGAAAAATTTGGGGTGCAACAACTGCCCCTATTTAGTCTCCTTCAACCTGAAGGTGAGATTGGCGCCAACCTTTCGAACCTTCAAGGTGGAAGAAGATTAAATACTAAGAGAACCCCGAAATTTCCACTCCAAAACCAGTCAGGAATTATTATATTTTTGGTTTTCTGTATTTTCTATTTTTTTTTCTTTTTGGGTTAAAGGGGTTATCAAGGATAAATGTATGTCGGACCAGGGTTAGACACACAGAAGAGAATTTGGTTATCAAGGAACATCTGTTCGGAGTTAGTAACGAAGATATGCAAGAAAGATATCAAAAGATATATAGCTGAAGTCAATAGCAGACATACGAAAAAGGTATCAAAGATACATATCCGGGGTCGGTAGCGGATACATACGAAAGAGACAGACCACATAAAGCTCTTAAAAATATATCAAGAATACATGTCTAGGGTTGGTAGCCGACACATACAGAAGATATCAAAGATAGAAGAAATCTGTCAAATAGATCTCAACCGGATATCATATATGGAAGAAATATGTCAAATCAATTTCAACCGGATATCAAAGATGGAAGAAATCTGTCAAATCGATCTCAACCGGATACTAAAGATGGAAGAAATATGTCAAATCCATCTCAACCGGATATCATAGATGGAAGAAATCTGTCAAATCCATTTCAATCGAATATCAAAGATGGAAGAAATCTATCAAATCGATTTCAACCGAATATCAAAGATGGAAGAAATCTGTCAAATTGATTTCAACCGGATATTAAAGATGGAATAAATCTATCAAATCTATTTCAACCAGATATCAAAGATGGAAGAAATCTGTCAAATTGATCTCAACCAAATATCCAAGATGGAAGAAATCTGTCAAAACGATTTCAACTGGACATCAAAGATGGAAGAAATTTGTCAAATCGATCTCAATCGGATATCATAGATGGAAGAAATCTATCAAATAGATTTTAACCAGATATCAAATATGGAAGAAATCTATCAAATCGATCTCAACCGGATATCAAAGAAGGAAGAAATCTATCAAATCGATCTCAACCGGATATCATAGATGGAAGAAATCTGTCAAATCAATTTCAACCAGATATCAAAGATGGAAGAAATCTGTTAAATCGATTTCAATCGGATATCAAAGATGGAAGAAATCTGTTAAATCGATTTCAATCGGATATCAAAGATGGAATAAATCTGTCAAATTAATCTCAACCAAATATCCAAGATGGAAGAAATCTATCAAATCAATTTCAACCGGACATCAAAGATGGAAGAAATTTGTCAAATCAATCTCAATCGGATATCATAGATGGAAGAAATCTATCAAATCGATTTCAACCGGATATCAAAGATGGAAGAAATATGTCAAATCAATCTCAACCGGATAAAAATGATGGAAGAAATTTGTCAAATCGATCTCAACCGAATATCATAGATGGAAGAAATTTGTCAAATCAATTTCAACCGGATATCAAAGATGGAAGAAATCTGTCAAATTGATCTCAACCAAATATTTAAGATGGAAGAAGTATGTCAAATCGACTTCGACTAGATATCAAAGATGGAAGAAATATTTCAAATCGATCTCCACCGGATATCATAGATGGAATAAATCTATCAAATCGATCTCAACCAAAGATATCAAGGAACACTAACCGCAGATAGACTCCTGGAGAAAGAAAATCGGATGAAGGTGAACTGGGGGTAAAATATATGTGTCTGGCCAAAGTTAAACACATATAAGAAAGAGACCGACTGAAGTAGACTCTTAACAGAGTACATCGAAGGTAGACTTTCTAGGGATACCTCATGACAGACCCCTTTTAGGGAATTCGGGTGAGAACTTTGACCAAGGTAAATTCACAAAGAGTGTCGAATTAAAGGCGAACTTTACAGGAGAAAGAAACCAGCTGAGGGGTACTCTGACAAGAATAACAACTGAAGACAGATTTAAGGGAAAAGAACTTACTGAGGATTCACATATGTCTTTTGTAACACCCCAATTCTACCAGACAATTATATATACAAATCAGAGTCACAAAGTTCATGAAACTGAATCAGGATGCCACAAATTCAACTTTAAAAACACATTGCGTTCAACGTGGATACATAACACTTTAAAACTTTGGATGACCTACCAGCATAATAATATAATCTATTAATTCAACAACTTGAACATCTACGCAGCGGAATCATAATAACATCTTTATCCATCAATTACAACAACTTCAAAATAATGCACACTTAGAAACAAACAAATTCATGTTCAACAACTGAAATAATCAATAACTAAAAGCAACAAGCGTAAATCCCCCCGAGTGTTACGTATCAGAGCAATGACACTGAATCGAACTACCGAAGGTATACTGCTTTCACTCTAGATTACCTGCACGTTACCAACATAAGGGTAACATTCAAACAGAAGGGGTGAGATATCTAACAATATAATAAAACATATGATAAATAATATGTTAAATTAGATCACATAACATCACCACTTCTCATCGTATAAACAACAGTAATCGCAACAGAATACCAACAATATACACATTTACTGCATCAATACACAACTTCTTTATGCAATCATATAATGTGACTCAATACTATGCAAATGCATGCGGTAGCATTGGAGCAGAACTCCCATCTCAAAATAATTGCCAATAAATAGAGGCATCAACAAGGCATAAGCCTTCATCTTAATATTCGTCAATACATGCCATCTTAACAAGCATCAACTCCATCTTGAAATGCAATGTATGTGACACAATCATGAATGTAATAACAACACCAAAATTAACAACATATCAACACAACATCATCGTTGGCCAAAAGCCTACATCTTAATAGCTGCCAATTATTAGAGGCATCTCAACATCATTCTTCAACATCATTCATCAACATCATTTATCAACATAATTCATAGCAACTCAGCCATAACAACAATACAACGGCAGATCGACAATCCTTCAACGTTGACAATAGGCCTACAATATGATAATACGTCATTATCATCATTAATCTTACTGTTATGAACCAACCAGTAATCTATAATCATCGCATCCTCATCATACTTCACAAAATCATCATAGCGATTTATGCAGGAAGCTAACTCTAGTCCTAAATTGGTTTACTAGTATTATCCTTCCTATTCTTCATTTTAATCCTTAAGAATGAAGTTCATCGCGTCATCTATTCAACCCTTCAAACGGCACCTCAAATGGAGTCCAGAAACTCAAGTTACAGCCTCTGGAAATGATTATGTCAAAAACCAGACTACATGAGTCGACGTATAATGTCTTGAGTCGACGCGTATTGGGCTTAACACGCTGCATGTATCAACGCATACTCCCTTCGTATCGACTCATATTGAGTCTACGGCACTGCATGTATCGATGCATGCTCCTTCGTATCGACTCATCCTGAGTCTAAAAACCTACATGTATCGACGCATGACTTCTTCGTATTGACTCATCCTGAGTCTAAAAGCCTTCATGCATTGACGCATGGCTTTTGGGGTCGACACATATTGTTCTGTCATGAATATTTTCTACGATTTCACTATGTTTTCACTGCGGTTTCCATGCTTTAGGCCCTAAAAACATCCTCTAATCATAGGTAATCATCAATTATAATTATCCTATATTTCTACATCAATTATACAGCATTAGGGTATCATTATTCATCCTTAAATCATTGATTTTCATCAAACAACCATGTATATAATTCAATCATAAACCAAACAATCTTTCACATCAAATCCCACATACTAATCATCATAAAAT